GGAAGCCATTATTATTAATTTTTAATTTCTTCATTTTATCCTAGTCTTTCATCTCACTTTGGACTCATTTATCCATTCTGGACCACATGGCTTTTATAGAAATTTCAGCAATCCAATGTTTTCTAGATATTGGTAGGGAAGGAGAAATGGGAGTGAAGAAATGGAATTTTTTATTTAAATAATTATGGAGAAATTACATTTTCAATCCAATCCTTAGTGATTCTTAGCCCCACAACTTTTAAATCCACCAGATGAACATGGGCTCTTGTAGAATGGATATAGAGGAACTAGAGTCTCCTGGATGAAGGAGGTATGAAAAGAACAGCAACAAAAAATCTTCAAGGAGGGTAGATAAAGCTAATTTGAGAACAAATCATTCTTAAATTTATTAAAACTTTTGTGACAGTTCTTCATGCCAAGGTTATGGCCCAGAAATCAGTGTCAATACTATATGGAGCACAAATCTAGAACTTTGGAGGCTATGAAAAAAAATAGCAGATTAAAAAATCCTAAATTCAGTATCTGGCATTTGGTGGGCACCCAGTAAATATTTTGAAAAAATGCTTACATTAACAGACTTATAAAAATTTTTGAACAGGTAGGATGAGCAAGTGTGCCTCTATATTCTATATGCTATCTGTGAACACTAAGCATTCTCATGGTATTTGCAACCATCTGTAGCTGATGTCTCCCCAGTGCATAATGGCCCCCTAACCTCCAGATTCTTATAGCCATGTGTCCACTGCATATGTTCACTTGGATATTGCACCAGCATCTCAAATTCAGTATTCCAAAATTAAGCTTTTTCTTTCTACCTCAAAAATATTCCTTCTTCTGTGTTTTCTTAACTTGGGTAAGTATACCACTAAAGGCAGTTATGGTAGTAGCATTCCACACATCTTTCTTACATTCATCATCTAATAGATCCTCCTCATTTTAATTACCACATATTTTTGAAACTGTACCCTGCTTTTCATCTAAGGCATCTCTCATGTGGACTATTGCAGTAGAATGAGTCTATTTAGTTGTGTTCCCTTAAGTCCATACTATTTTATCTAAATATCAATTCTGTGATATTTTCTTAGCTTAAAATATCACAGTGGAATCTCTTAATCTACAGAAGAAATTCATCCATAGCTATGTTTTATATGCCTCTCCAGCCCATTTTATTTTGTCTTAGTATAGGCTTGATTACCATAAAAACACTCAACATTGTTTCCCTATATATACTATGTTGCTAACCCTCTCCATGTGTTTGCTTTTGATTTTTCTTCTGTCTGCCTACTCATCTTTTCACACTGTTCCTACTCATCTTTCAAGATTTATATTAGGCCTCATATCTTTTTTTTTTCCATTCTACAAGGGGTTAGGTAGATCTATTTTCATGTTCCTATAATAAAACTTCCCACATTGTTTGGAAATGATATGTTTTCCTTTCATCCTCCCACTCTTGATTGTGAGCTTATCAATTGCATAGAGTTACGCAGGTACCCTTATCACAGTGCCTTGCACATGGAGTGTTCAGTAAATTATTTCAGTAATATAAACTAAACATATATAGTACATCTCTAGGAACCTAAATGAAGGAACAAAATTTAAAGTTTTATACTAGATTCTCCACTGGCTGTCTTGTTAACTGTACCTTTCATTTGCAAATGGGGCCAAGGAGATAAAAGGTAAATAACAAGCCTTCATAGTTTTGTTTCTAAAGTTACTGACATTGTTACTTAGAAGTTTAATGGGAACAGGAGGAGCTTTAAAATCAGGGAGGTCCAATTTCTAATCGTAGGTTTCCCACACGATGTGAGATTGGACTATTTACACTGATCCTCAATGCCTGTCTCTTTGGAATGAGGATAATAGTGCCTGCTATGTAAGGTAATGTTAAGAATTGAGGATCTGACAGTCAAACCTCAGAGAGAAGGTAGGGGAAAGTGGGGGTAGAGGTAGAGATCAACCAAAGGACTTGTGTGCAATCATATAAGTCTAACCAATGGACACAGATATCAGGGGATGAGGGCAAGAGTGGGGAATTGGATGGGGGGGGAGGAGTGGAGGGATAAGGACACATATGTAATACTTTAATCAATAAAGAAATTTTAAAAAGAAAAAGAATTGAGGATCCTCTTTCCCTTCGGCATGCCACTGAGATCCTGGTGCTACTGAAGATCCTGTGTCGCCATGGGTCACCCCCAGCCAGGCTGTATTGCAAGAATAAGCCTTATGCAAAGTCTCTCTTCTGCCAAGGTGTCCCTGATGCCAAGATCCGCATCTCTGACCTGAGGCGAAAGTGGAAAAGTTCCCACTCTGGCCACATGGTGTCTGATGAATATAAGCAGCTCTCCTCCGAAGCCCTGGAGGCTTCCCGTATTTGTGCCAAGTACATGGTGAAAAGCTGTGGCAAAGATGGTTTTCACGTGAGCGCGGCTCTACCCCTTCCGAGTCATCGAGTCATCTGCATCAACAATACCTGTCTGGAGCCTGTGCTGGGGCTGACAGACACCAGACAGGTGTGCGGGTGCCTTTGGAAAGCCCCAGGGCACAGAGGCCAGAGGCCACATTGGCCAAATCATCATGTCCATCCGCACCAAGCTGCAGAATAAGAAGCATGTGACTGAGGCCCTAGCAAAGCCAAGTTCAAGTTCCCTGGCCGCCAGAAGATCCACATCTCCAAAAACTGGGGCTTTACTAAGTTTAATGTGGATGAGTTTGAAGACACGGTGGCCGAGAAATGCCTCATCCCAGGTGTCTGTGGGGTCAAATACATCCCTAATCGTGGTTCCCCCAACAAATGGCTGGCTCTGCACTCCTAAGAGACTCTGTGCTGCCCCACCTTACACCTACCAATAAATCAACTTTCTATCCCACCTCCCAAAAAATATACTGAGGATAGTGCCCTGGCTGGATAGCTCAGTTGGTTAGAGTATTATCCCCATAGTTTAAGGACCCCTTTGAGTGACCATCAATAGTTCTCTTCTATTAATATTCTTTTAATTTATGCTCTAAAGAAGTATTTTGGTTGCGCAACTCAATTCATAAACACGCACAAAATATTTTCTGTTGACATGTAGAATGCCATTCGATGATTGGCGCTTCACAAGGGGTTCTCTTCTGAGATATTTTCTTTGGTAAAATAAAAGCTACTCATGTGGTTTGATCTAATGCTTTACCTCTTCTAAATCTTTAAGTGTTTTCCCTCTCTTCTTTATGCCTAGACCTAAAGTTACTTGTGTATATACTGTCTGCTTCCCTTCTTTCTCCCTCTAGTATGTGAGCTCTATGAGGTGGGACCCATGAATTATTAACCTCTGTATGCCCAAGACAAAGCCCATTGCCTAGAATGTAACAGATGCTTAATTAAATATCTACAGAGTAAGGTAATTTATTCCATCCATTTGACTTGATTTAATGAGCCATTTTCATTCAAAAATGAAATACTTTTAACATCTTTGAAGAGGAAAAAACTAAGAGGAAGACCTCAATCCCAGGACTAATAATGGTTTTAATTGTTTTGTTTTATTTAATATTAATTTTGAGACAGCAGGAAGAAAAACTTTTCAAAAACCTAAGGTAAACAAGTCTCTGATAGTAACTTTATCACTGACAGCTGAATACCAAAATGGATGAAACAACGTTATATGAGGCTCCCAATTTTACAAGTTAAAAAAAAAAAAAAGGTAATAAAGATAAGCTTTAAGAGTTTGGGGGCTCTGCAATCTCTACTGGCAGTGATTTTCTACTGACTAGGCTTGTGATGTGGTCAAGTCAGTTCAGTAAGTCTCAGTTACCTCATTGGCAACTGGGTACAAGAGTACCCCTTTACCCCATAGGCCTTAAAGCATGCGTAAAACAGAGATTATTCTGTGAAGCATGTTGGCTTTGAAAACCGTCATTTAACTATAAAGGCTCATTTTGATGAACCAGGGAGCACACTGATGTTGAAAATCACATAGCTTATTTTAGATGAAACATCTGGTAGCTTCCAGGTCTGGTGAATTGCCAATTCTGATGCAAAAGCTGCCTGAGCCACCCTGCACAATTAAGCAACTCAATACTGGCTCTCAGACTTCAGCCTAATGGTCATGGAAATTTCTCACATCAAAGGGATTTCTTTTCTTTTTTGGCATCACCCGTCTCTAACTTTCGGGGAGGGGGGACAAAAAGTAGGTTTACAGTTCTGAGTACATGAAACAGAGTTTATTCTCATATTATTATTTTATTCATAATTGTATTATTTATTTGTATTATTTGTCTTCTCATTATTATTAATATTATTTCCTATCTTTACTTATGACTTACCTTTTAGGTAATGATGCCTGGTAATTTAACCTACTTTTGCCCATTCCTGTATGTAATGTTTAGACATAGTACCACTTAATGAAGGTTTTTTTAATAACAAGAATACATTTTTTTAAAAGACTGATAATTGAGGCAACACATTATAATGACCAAAAATGTGGTTTCAAAACTTAGATCCCTTGTGTTCAAAATTCTTGATCAATTGATTTAACCCTTACAATCTTGGGTTTCTTCTTCTTTAAAAAAAAAATTTAAAAAATGGATATAATAACAACAGAGCCTCTGCCATAGAGTTGTTGCAAGAATTCAATGTAAGTACTGTTACTTAAATTTATGTAACATTCAACCTGTCTAGCACCAAATAAACACTAATTTACTTATCTTCATCTTTTTCTTAGATGCTAGGGATTGAATAGCTTTTACCATTAACTACTAAATCTGATGAATTCATGGTTTAATAAGTAATGTACAAGGATAGACCATATGTGCTTTAACTAAGAAATAACAGAATGTTCTCCATCCTTATGCATATACCCTCACAATCATCTATGAAGTATCACAGGGCAGCCATTGAAGTGACAAGCAGGAGGCCCTGTTTCGGCGTGGGGCGACCCTCTGCAGCCCCGCTCTTCCTCAGCCTGGCCAGTTAAGCGTACAATCACATCTCTCTGTTTGCTCCTGTCCTTGTTCATGCATACCAGGTACAAAGACAGGAGACTGGCCCAGCACAAGTCGGAAATAGAGTGTTTCACCCCCAAAGGGAGTATGGGGAATGGTGGGAGAGCAACAATGAGCAGGTAAGCAAACTGTGAGTGGCCTGAGGCAGTGTGAGCTACATGTGTGCAAGCTAGAGGAACAGGTGGCTCCCTAGTCTGGATCCTCACTCAACTGTGCATCCCATACAGTGTGTCCAACCTGGGCCACCGCTGGTTTTCTGTGTGTGTTTGATTTGCAAAACCCATACCATCTTCGTGTGGAGTGATGGGAGCCTCCTGTCCCAGATGCTGCTATTTTTCCATGCTTTGCATGTCTGAAGCCTTACTTCGCAGTCAGTTCTCTCACAGATCTTAATGTATTGGTTAATTGCTTCTGGAGTGTGCAAAGTGGAAGAGCTTGGAGGAATTTCACATTTCGAGATTATCCAATGACTTAGGAAAACAAATGCAAAAGCCTAACACTGGTTTTAAGAGAAGAACTACAACGGAGGGAAGATTCCAGCTCCAAATCCCAGACAAGCCTGGGAATTAATCTGACTTCCATTGAACTTAACAACATCAACGCACAGAGAAGGGCAAATGCCATGCCAACTAGCGAACTATGGAGGCAAGAGGTTTTTCGTGAACTGATATCAGGAAAGCTGATCCTCCTCTAGCTACCGTAGCTTTGCATCTCCTTGACTTCTCTGTGTTTGGTGGCAAATGCTCCCTGTTGCTGCGCTATGCATGTTCCTTCATACTAGGCACTCCCAGCTGAGCTGTTCCCAGTAAACTGGGGTATTTGTAATTAGAAGCTTCGACTAAGCTGTGTTGCATGAAATAAATGTGCTTTATTGCATGCGACTGGGTTTCAGGAAAAGGGCTCTGGAGATAAAGACGGTCAAGATTGGCATTAGCACTGGCCAGTTTGGCTCACTGGATAGGCGTCAGCCTGCGGACTGAAGGGTCCTAGGCTCGATTCCAGTCAAGAGCATGTACCTTGGTTGCGGGCACATCCCCAGAGGGAGATGTGTGGAAGGCAGCTGATTGATGTTTCTCTCTCATCAATGTTTCTAGCTCTCTGTCCCTCTCTCTTCCTCTCTGTAAAAAAATCGATGAAATATATTAAAAAAAAAAAAAAAGATTGGCATTAAACAGTTCCAAAATGCTGGAGGAGCCTAGAAGTTGGGAATCACTCACTGTGAATTAACTCTCCACCTTTAATTTGTTGTGGCACTTCCCAATCCACCTGTGAGGTGTGGAATGGAAGCTCTTGGAAATCACCCTGGATTAAAGGAAAGGGAAGTGTAGAAAGCCAACTATATACTCATGTGTGTGCGTGTGCTGAGAGTAGAGCTTGAGAGCCAGCTGTATAGCAAGAACATATCCTGTTGACCTTTTACCCCAAATGTAGCATTTGCTTCCTTGGTAGGGGCTCCTTCTGGTTTTCAAAATGATGTCTAACTTTCTCCAGGGACCATTGCATTGCACAACTTCTGGGGGACCATTCACATTGAAGTACGTGAAAATGGTGCCTGAAAATGTGCAGCATACACATTTTGTGCAGCATACAGCCTGAGCAATCATCTGGCTAAGAGCTTGGCCACCTTCGTCCATGACTACTAGAGGCAAGGCAATGAGATGTGTGTACATTTGTATGCACATTGGTGTATCTCAGTGGTTGGCAAACTGCTACTCGAGAGCCATTCTGTTGACTAATGAGTATGCTGACCACTGGTGTATCTGATGGCCTTATGCCTGTGATTCCTTTCTACAACTATTTTTTTTTTAATCTCAGTATATCTGGAAGATAAGCATCAATAGATTATTTTGTAGGAGTAACTCAAGAGACTACTACTGGGACTGCTGGTTGCCTTCCATCAAGATATGATGAAGTGTTGTAATTCCTATCTTTGAAAATCAAACAGCACCCAGGCCAAAAGACTATATCAAATGAGCATAGGGCTCTGTCCAGAGTGTAGAACTGGAGTTTCCAAACCTATCGAACTTGGCTGCCTATCAAACATACTAGCCCAAAATCTTGGATGATATAACCTAGAAATCTGTAGTGTTACATGTTTCCTAGGTCATTCTGTCTTAGCCAGTTTCCACTGACATTTAGGAATACCCCAATCATCTAAAGGGGTCATAGAGCTATTCATGACAAACATTAAGTCTCAATTCTGTCATGCAGTGTTCTTAGGAGTATTTGGTCAATGCTTAGACCTCTCAGGTCTGATCGGTTCAGCAATTAAATTTGCTCAAAGCTGCCTTCATTGAGAATAGACAAGAAGCAGTGGGACACATTGGGTAAGAGGACCCCAGAGCACAGACCAAACTTCTTTGGGTGAGATCTAGATCTACAGGGGTAGGCACTCAACATGTCTACACTGAGAATGGTAGATACCACTTAGCTTTTTTTCCTCACTTGTTTGGGTATAGCCAAAGAAATGGCAAGGCTTATTACACTGATATGTCCTGGTGGTACAGGGAGACACAGAGCATGCTGTTGGAAAGACAGTTCTGTTGGAGTAACCCTCTCAGTTCTTCAGAAAAGCATAGTTAATTGGGGGGGAAATGGTTTTCTCTTCTTACTTTTTCTTTTTTCCCACTTGGTTAGCATTAAATAAAAACTGACACAGAGAGAAAAAGAATGTGGGTGAGAAGAAAGGAGCCCCTCAGTGCTCTAAGAGAGCTTTCCATTAGGGAAGACAAAAGGCCTGGAGACAGACAAAAGGAGAGGCCAAAATTTCTAAGACCTTTAAATCCTTTTTTCCAACTTTATGTTTGTTTATATCAACACACACACACACACACACACACACACACACACACACAATGACATTTTCCCAGGAGAAGTAAGTTTAAAATTGAATATTAAGAGAAGACATATCATAGAAGAGGCAACTGCAATGTAAACCATTTTTAATAAGAGGTTAGAGTTGTTAACACCAATTAATTTACTGCGGCATTAAATAGAGCTGGAAATAAGATAACTATATGAGACTTTTATAGAGATTTTTAGCACCAGCTTATATGACCATCTTTCTCATCCACCCCAAACCCCCCCTCCCCCTCCAGTTGCTTCCCAGAGTCATGGTCATTATCACATTTACTCTGAAAACGACTGGGCTGGTTCTGCGACCATTACTGAACAACCAGTCCCAGAAAGGGACTAAGAAAGTTCAGACAACCACAGAAAAACAGGAGTGTCGCCCTGTATCTCATTGGCCTATGTGTTCTATAAGGAAACTGTATTATGGACAGGTCTCTATGGATTCACACTTGGATGATTCTTCAGAGCCAAGATGCCTGGTAGCAAAAAAGGAGTTTAAATGCATGTAGTTATATCTAGCCAGAACACTCTTACCTTCAAAAATCAGCGAGGCCTTATAGACACTCCCACCCTTCTCCCTCCTACCTCCACCGTAATCACGTGGGCGCATTTGACATGGAGTGATAACATTACATGTACCCATAACACTCCCGACCCCTGAAATACTATGTTGCTGTTTTCCCTTTATGTGAACTTTTTCCCCCCTTCTGTCTGAATATAGCATAATGTGTCATCTTTTCATGTTTCCACAGTGGACAGTCTAAGTGTATTTCAGAGCAGAGAACTCCTAAATCCAGGAGAAGTGATGAGAGTCCTAAACAGGGACTATTTGAACCCAAAAGTCTCTAAACCCTGTCACCGTGTGAGTTCATACCGTGATGGTCCACCATCAGGAATGGCTAAAGCCTCAATGAGTGTTCTTATCTCCTGTCTCAGCAGGGGTATTGGATGGGAGTTTGTGTGTGCTGTGCTCACCTGGGCCCCAGTAGCAGAGCCACAGACATTCTGAGCCTCCCAGTCTCTCTGTAAGAAAGAGCTCCCTCAGTCAAATGAAGGTGATAGATCAACAATCCCCACCAGCGATGGAAGAGAGGAGGGCGGTACCAAGTTATTTTTATTGTTGCTGTGTCATTATATCAGTTATGTAAACTATTAACCCCAATCAGTTGAGTAACAGATGCAGCATCTAATTTTAGTGGGTATAAATGTTTAATAAATCCTTAGAGAACTTGGTAACAGTGATGTCATGATAGTTATTATTGAATTAGTTGGAACTCAGATTTGAAAAGTAACCCCAAAATGTAATGTCTGTGTTAGGACGGTTTTGCCTTTCTTTAATTCAATTATTACTTTCTTCACTTAATGTTCATTTATGAAATATATACTATGAGTCAAGCACTTTTAAAACTTTGGAGATAAATGAGCGACCAAGACATGACTAATGCCCTTGAAAATCTGTAGTCTATTTGGGAACTTGAGTCAGAAAAGTAGATCATTGCAATGTAATATAGAACCTCTCTCCACAGGACAATATATGTGTCAGAATAATTCCTCATTTGATATCATTTTTATATCATTTCTATAACTTTTGCCAGTGCAAATAGAATTAAGAGACATAGAAACTAAGAAATAAACCTGAACTGAGTGCTTAGATTAGGCCTATGCACACAGTTATGTAAAATTCAGGATCCACAAAAAAGAAAGATTCTGCTTTTCTAGAACAATAGATCCGGAGTTAGTTGCTTAGCAATAGATTAGGACCCCTGCAGTAGACTGCTCTTTATTCCCTCCCAAAGTCAATTTCAAATTAATGTTCTAACTTATATTTAGAGATGTTCTAAAAAAATAATAGTAACTACAATAATTACTAAAACTTAGACACTGTGATAGTCCCATCATATATTATACGCATTCTCCCAAGAACATTATAAGGAAGGCATTTTTTTATTTCCATGGTACAGACAAGGAAAATGAGGATTAGGAATATTAAATAACACAGTAGAGTAACTTAATGAAAATTCTAAAATCAAATAGAGATGCTTTAACAAAAGAAGTCTTTTGTCTAAACCATTTTTTTCAGCAACCGTTATAAAAATACTGTGATTCTTTTATCCTACAGTCCTTCAGGATTTATCTCTGCGATATTCAGGTCAGTTGGTAGAGTTTTCACATTTATTATCTGGTTATTTTATGGACACAAGCTTGGATGTTGCTGTTTCCATGGATGCTCCACAAGAATATGTCTTATTGCCCCATGGTTCATGTGCACATCTGGGCACTTAGCACAGAGACAACATTGCATGGTAGCAATGACTCTGGGTTTAAGGTCAGATTTGAGGAACTAGGCTCTGCCTTCATTTGACTTAGGCATCTTAGTTAATTTCCATAAGCCTCAGTTTTTACATCTATAGTACAAGTTAATAATACCCGTTTATACCAAGCATTCAAAGTGATGGGATTTACTTCATTTCCTAAACATTCCCAGCCCAAGTACTCCACACCAGGCACCATACTAAGCACAGGAAATACGTGTACCACTGCCCTTGAAGTGTTCTAGGTTCGGTGCAGAAACAGATTTTTAAAGAAGTAATTAAAATTACCATCCTATAAGTGCTCTGTCATACAACTGTTGTGAGGTCAAATGTAATAAAATAAGTGAAACTCATTGTGGGGTGTAAAGTTCTATTTAAATGGGAGCTATTACCTTCCCCAATCTCTCTCTCCTTTGTCATCAATCTCAACCCTATGTTTTATTCAAGGTTAAATCAAGCTGGATTCCTCCACAAAGTCTTCCTGCCTATACCATCTCACAGGCACAAAACAGCGGTGTCTTCTGTTGTTTTCTCTTTACTCTATTTTAATCTGGGTTTTACATTGATTGTTCAGCAGGGAGGAGGGGAGGCTGAGAGAGGAAAGATCATTTCCTGTTTTGGGGGGAAAGGAAAAAAAAAATAAACCTCTAATCTTAGGTGAAGAACCTTAACTGAAGCCTAGAATTTAAGTCTCAGTATGAAGAGTTGTTTAGTTTTGAGATTTGGGTCCAGGTTACTGAATTATGGATCATAAGAAATAGCTTAATTTGAGAAAGAAACCTTCGTGAGGATCCAACAAAATGCCTCTTTATGAGGGCTTAGGGGAAGCAGCAGTTATACTTTACCATTAGTTCATCTGAATGGACATGAAACATTTTGAAAATGTTACTGTTAAGCCAAAGAGAAGGGACCGTGGGGCCCAATGGTTCTCTTCTGAACAAGGATCTTATTAGGGACTAATCGCCCAGTAGGAGGGATGCTCTGGAGGAATTATCAGGGAAGCGTGCAGCCACTGCTCCCTCCCAGCTACTCAGAAGAGGGGAAAGTCCACCTCAAAGGGTTGCTGCAAGGGTTTCATGAGATTAAATACATGGAATTTACCTTTTATTTATTTATTTATTTATTGAGACATGTGCAATACATATGCTAACTGGATTTTGTTTATTCATGATATTTCAAGATTCCCCAGGCTTTGTGCCTCATTAAGTCCACTTTATTTGCAAATCCTTCCTTGAAACTTCTTCCTCAGTGAACAACCTTTTCCCTGAATTCTTTGAATAGTACTAACAAGAAAATTCTAACAGACAAGAATAAATTTCTTTTTACTACAGTTCTTGGTATCAGTATATTCTTTTCCATCCTGGTTTTTTTTTGTTGTTGTTGTCATACTTATTAGCATCTTAAAACTATAACCTGCCCTATGCAAACAAGCTCTTAAATCTACTCTAGACACCACTATTTGGCTTGTATTGATCTACTGAGTTCCTCATTGCCTTAATGACTAATTACCATAATCAATATTAATTAGATCATAACATTCTCCTGAAATAGAAGTAGGACTGGGACCAGATGATGAGTAAGGTCAATAGATGAAGCTGGGGTGAGGGTCTAAAGAAGACTATGGCATGGTTCCTACATTAGTTTGTTTTATTAAGCTCAAGAAAAAAAAAATCAAATATGTAAAATATTAAATGACAATGCAGAATTCTTACAGTTGAAGAATAACAGAAAAGAAGCCATGAATATTTCTTTATATTGTATCTATTCATTTATTGATGAAGCATGTAGGTTACATATGTATCTATGTAGATTACATATGTATCTAATACTTGGACCATCTCTCTGATCTAACATATTAGACCACCTATGAATTCCAGATACTAACAAGCTCAAGTTGAAAAAGGTGAAGAGATTAAGAAAAACAAACAGACAAAACTGAAAAACTCAGACAACAGTATGATGATTACCAGGGGATAAAGGGTTGGAGGAGATAGAAGAGGGTAATGGAAGTATAAATGGTGATAGAAGGAGACTTGACTTGGTGAACACACAAAACAACCTACAGATAATGTGTTATACAATTGTACACCTGAACCTATATAATTTTATTAACCAATATTATCCCAATAAATCAATTAAAAATTAGCATATAAGGGCTGAAATCTAACAGCCAGAGACAAGGACTCTAATAAACCTAATAATTTGTAATCGGAAATGACCTGCCTGGGTTGCCAGGGCTTGGACCAGGACCCCTTCTTTCTTTAATATATGTTGGCTACCAGCTGCCAAAAAGAAGACGGAGGAGAAAAGGGAGGAGGAGAAAGAAAAGGAAGGAGGAGGAGAAAGAAAAGGAAGGAGGAGGAGGAGAAGTCCAAGGTTAACTACTGAGTTATTCAAAGAACAAGGGAGATCCATGTAGGTCAGGGATGGCCAGGAAGAATATTATAGTGGACAAAAAAATGGAAACTCTATCTGATGCCTTAACTTCTTACTCCATCCCCACACATTCAAACTAGACTACTGCTTATCTTTGAAAAACTGCTTGTAGGAATCCTGACTTCTGTCATTGACATTCCTCCTGGAAGCCAATGCCTAACACTCTCTTTTTGTACTTTGCTGTAATCTTCTGATTATTCAAGGCCTAGACGCCATCTGTCTCCTATGGGCAGGCAGAATTCCCTGGCCACTCTCCTGATGCTGGACATGGTTTCTTCCTATTGTGGAGTTTTGAATCCCCTGTGGGCTTCAACCTAGAGAAACACAGTAAACTCACTGCTTGCCCCGATGTTCTATAAGCCCTCACCTTCACTTTCCTCACCCTTAGCACCCATCACCCACCATCTACTTCTTTATTTCAAGGTCCTGACTGGTTGGGGGGTAGGGGGAGAAATAGCCACTTTCTATCAAAATACTGTAACTCATATTGTTAGCCTTCTTTACATATCTTCTTGCTTAAATTTAATTTTACCCTCTTTGAGTGTGATTTCTTATATCAATACTTCTCAGTCACTGTATCAAAAAACATTGCTGATTAAAATCATTTGTGAAGTTATCACATAGCATTTGTTACTAATATTACTTGAAACACCAACATTTTCAAAATAGTGCACATTTAAGGTTATGCTTGCAATTATACAATTTTCATTTCCTGGCTTTCCAAATAAGTCAGAGAGAAAATGAGAAAGAACTATCAGAGTAGGAATTAATGTGCTACATATAGGACAGTTCTCTTTTAATGGATGATAGCATGAAAAAAAAATGGCTGAAAACTGCCATATAATATCCTATCTAATAAAGAAGTAGTATGCAAATTGATCATCACTCCAACACACAAGATGGCCACCCCCATGACAAGATGATTGCCACAAGATGGCCATCAGGAGAGGGCAGTTGTGGGTATTCAGGCCAGCAGGGGATGGGAGTTGGGAGGGACCAGGCCTACCAGGGAGGGCAGTAGAGGGGGGGACAGGCTGTAGGGGAGGGCAGTTAGGGGCAACCAGGCTGGCAAGGGAGGGCAGTTAGGGGCAATCGGGCCAGCAGGGGAGCAGTTAGGTGTCAATCAGGCTGGCAGAGTAGTGGTTAGGGGATGATCAGGCTGGCAGGCAGAAGCAGTTAGGGGCAATCAGGCAGGTAGGTGAGTGGTTGAGAGCCAGAAGTCCCAGATTGGAGAGGGTGCAGGCTGGGCTGAGGGACACCCCGGCACCCCCATGCATGAATTTCATGTAACAGGCCTGTAGTTAATTTATATGTTTGTAAGCTTCAAGTGCCTTCATCATCAAGGCATCAATTCATTATATGTGACAGGTGCTCGATCAACATGTCCTTTTTGAGTTAGCATCCAAAGAGCAATATATATGGTGCTTTCTTGGAGTGCAAAGTATATGATTAAGAAGTACAGTGATGCCAAAACCGGTTTGGCTCAGTGGATAGACCATTGGTCTGCTGACTGAAAGGTCCCAGGTTCGATTCTGGTCAAGGGCATGTACATTGGTTGCCAGTACATCCCCGGTAGGGGGTGTGCAGGAGGCAGCTGGTCAATGTTTCTCTCTCATAGACATTTCTAGCTCTCTATCCCTCTCCCTTTCTATCTGTGGAAAATCAATAAAATATTTAAAAAGAAAAGAAGAAGTGCAGTGATATAGAGTAATAGAGAATATAAATCAAATTACTAACTTAGCTACTTAAAAACACATATCATCACCGGTAGTATCTGAGACTTCTCTTCCATGGAATAAGGAGAGATCACTTCAAAAAGCAAATATAGACAGTGTTCTGTCATGGATAATGGAATTGGAAATAATGTTATGGTATAATCCCAACTTGTCATTTTCTAACTGTGAAACCTTGGGCAAGTCACTTACGTAATCTCAATGAGCTTCAGTTTCTCATTTTGGAAAGGGGGATAAAGATGTTGATCCTATCTACCTTTGACAATCAGAATGATTCTAAAAGTGCTTTGTAAAGCACTATGCAAATATAAGGTAGCATTGTTTTGTGTGTGTGTGTGTGTGTGTGCGCGCGCGTGTGTCTATACTAGATAATTTAGTCCTTCATTTCCATTTATTCAAGTGTTTTTCTCTCTATACAAACATCTCTAATGCATACATTGTCATGTCCATTTAAGTTGTTTTTGTCAGGGAAGTAGCTATTTACACCCATTTATGATGTACCTGAGGAAATTTATATAGATGATTCTGTTATATTCTTATTTATTATGGTGTATTTCTCAGTGAAATTGTCAAAACCAAGACATCATGTTTTAGGCAAGGCTCAGAAAGAAATTTATCCACCTAATTTAAAAAGTCTGAATAGCAACAATATCAAATTGTTTGGTATA